TACACAATGGGTTATCTGTGATCTGCCCACCACGGGTATCGAAACCCGGATTCTAGCGTTGTAAGTCCGCAGACATACCGCTGTGCCACTGGGGGCAAAGGACTTGTATCGCTGAAAGTTCCTCGGAAAGAATTTCTACCGGAAATTATCAAACAAGCAGATACGCAACAATATTTCTTGACACAAGCTGTCAGTTAAATTCCTCACCTTAAGTATCTTATAGATCTAAATTCTCGTTATTATTTTCAGCTTTATCTAATGTTTAATTTCAAATATTCTATAAAAATTATTTATTTTGTTTATGTTTAAATTGTGTCCTGATGAAATGAAAAAGTAAAACAATAGTTGCAAGTAATGAATTTTTTGTTGTTGTTGTTGTTGCTAAAAATTGCTTTGATTTCTTTGATTTTAAAAATTCAAATACATGTAAAATGTTTCTTACTTTTGCTATTTTCTTTGTTCACAATGCGCCATCTATAAATAATTTTTGCGTATATTATGTTGTTGTCAAAGTGTCGTGGTAGGATTACAGTGAAGGAATGTGGAGTTTGTGGGAAAATAATAACCATTCTATTATTACCGACAAACAAGAAAGATTCTTGTTCATTGCATTTTAAATGTTATAAATTGTGACTGAGGAGACAAGTATTATCATATCACAAGTTAAGTTAGATTTGATTTCAAGTTATCAGTGGCAGTAAAGTGTTTTACTAGAAAGCTGAAATACTTTATTATCTGTTTCCAACAGTACACTACAGTCTACAGTGCAAGTTACAGTACCTTCATCGTTATCAGTATCACTATCAGCTGTTCGGTTGGGCAATGTTATGTTCGCTTTGAATCGTAGCTGTTGGTCTTGTTTGGCTTCGACATTATATATAGTGAACAGGTTTCATTAAGGGTTTTAAGACTTTAAAAAAGTCGTTGCAATGATTAGTTGGTTAAACAAAAATAAATTAGTAATTATTATTAGTTATGATATGGAGTAAACCTGTAACGTCATAAATTTTCATCGCTTAACTTAAGGTAATTCCCAGGTGCGTGGCGTTATTAACTTTTAACTGCCTTAAGTCTAAGTTGTCCACGAGTATTACTATTAATATTCACAAGTCAAGCAGTAATAAATACTGTATTATTTAACAGTAACAAGTGTTTTTACAATCTTTGTAAACTTTAAGCTTGATGTGTGAGTGATATGCCAGCTTTAGATTTATAATACTAATAGTAATAAAGTTGTAATATAAATGTAAATTGTAAAGACACTTTCCAAGGTTGCTGAAGACATTTTAATTAAAGTGCAATTATAGTGACATTTGTTGTAGTCTGAAACCAGTAATGTAAAGAAGCATCAAAGTAAATAGTTTGCAAACAAACAGCATAGAAAAACTGGCAAAGTAAAATATTCAACTCTTACAAATTTGGTTTGGTATTTAAGAACGAAGAACTTCGGTAAAGCATAGAAAATGGGGTTTTGGCTTCAGTTATCCCTCTTATTATGGAAGAATTTCACTTTGAAGAAAAGAAAACCTGTAAGTAATTTTTCATTATCTGTTAATACAAAAATGTGATAATCAAACTGTTACATGTCATGTATCAGTATAACATTTTAAAGTTTAAGTTGTAGTGTACAGGAAATGTATTTTGATAGAAATACTCTTTTTTTTTTTTTTACTTCATGTACAGATAAATTATTTGAGAGATGATAAAAAATCAGCCAGATGATGGATAGATAGATCATTGAGCTTAGGGTTTGATGACTAAGTCAATTTAATTTTTCAGGACAGAAATAATATTTATTTGCCTGATGTCTATTTTTATCAGGTATATAATTTTTAATATAATAATAATAATAATTTTTTTTTATTTAAAGATTGAAAATAATGTTAAATTCACACTTTTTAAAACACAAAATAAATTACCATATCATAAAATATTTAATGTGCAGCACCATTAACATTTAAGGACAACAAGAGGCCTGCTAGTCCATCAAGGCAGCCCCGTCAACTAAATTAAACTAAACTTGAAAAAAAAACCCTCAAAGATAGCCTTTATCATTTAAATATTTATTAAGTCTTCCATTAAACTTTCTTATGTTTGTTGTATCCACAACCTCTGAAAGCAACCCATTCCAGTGGTTAACCACCTGACGAAATTTATATTTGCCCCCTCCCTTGTCCTACCATTCTCACCAATAAGTAAAAAATAATTCATGAACGCTATCAATTCCCTTCATAATCCTAAACACCTGTATTAGATCCACACTAACTCTTCCTTTTTCAAGAGAAAATAGTTTTAGAGATTTCAAACTGTTCTTGTATGAAAACCTTTTTATCTTAGGTATCATCCTAGAAGTTTGGCTTAAAAGACTACTCAACCAAAATAATAAGATCCTTCCATAACACTGTAAAGGTTATTCCCATCAAAATTATACTTCTTATTGAAATTCCAAGGACTTAGAATATATTGGTAAATGGCTCACATATTCAATATTTAACCTTCTTCAACATCAAATGTGATCACCTGGTTCAGTCATGTTTCCATATACCAACTATTTGGGATGAGGAATATTGCTTAAATCTTCATTTGTAAAAACTGAAGAAAAAGTAAAATTTTGTAACCCAACGGTCTCATAGTCATCATAAATGAACCTTCTTTTATCATCCATCAAAGGCCTTACTTCCATCTTAAAATTTTGCTCATCTTTAATGTATTTAAAGAAATCATTTCTGTTTCTTTTTTACATTTTCAGTCAATCTTTTTAATATTTCCTTTTTCAATTTCCCTGGGTCCTATTTGACCAAATTTTAATCTACAATTCTGAATCTCCTGTCATAGTAGTCTATTTAGACTTTTTAAATTTATAATGTTTTGTGAAGGGGCACACTAAATGGTCTCTTGATAAGTAGAGCTGGGTGATTAGTGGCATTTGTTAATCAATGAGTCGATGGTCTTATGAATTGAATACAGTTGATTAAGCTATCATTACAGTTTTCCTCAAACAAAAAATAATGTTCTCTTCTTTCTAGCTAGCAGCTCAACAACAACAAATTGAAAAACAAACTTAACAGTTTTAGTGGCATGTAACCTAAGTAGCTTCACTGTAATAGACAGTTTAGTAATAATATTTCAGTAACTTTGATAGTTGCAATAATCAAAAATAGTAATAATGGAAAACCCTATTTTCAATTAGTTGATAATTTTTATGACAATCAATTTAACCCTAATTTTGATTAAACAATTATTTTACATGTAATCAGTGTTATTGATGTAATAAGTTAATCCAATTAGTTAATAATGAATAGAAGAAGTTTGTTAATAATTTTGAATACTTATTTTAAGTTATAAAGATGGACATAAGATATTTTGTTTCAGTATCTGTTTGTAAATATTTCAAAGTAAATGAACTGTGAAATTGTTCCTAATAGATGTGTTATGACTTTAAAGTCCAGTATATGACTAGAGAAGTTAATTTATAAATGATATAAAATTTTTGTTGGTTGAATTGTTACGTGTGTACAGTAAGATGTCTTTTGACTGATGTGCCCATGATTAGTGTTTGATTTGTTTTTTCTTAAAGTTTATATAATCAAGATAGAAATGCACATTTTTTTAACATTGTAAAGTTTTTTGTATTATGTTTTGATCAAAATTTTCAAATTGATTATAAAGATATATTATCATGTTAAGTGTTTTTCTTCATCTTTTTTTTCTATATCAGCCTTAATCCATTTCTTAAAAATTATACTGTGACAATCAGAACTATGTCATAAAATTTACCCTACTGGATTGAACATGTACATGTAGTTAGTCTGAGCACAGTTGTTTTGCTTGGATTTCCAGTACCTAAACAGTTTTTGCAATTTCCAAAAACATTCATAACATGAACATTTTTTTTCTATTCTGATATATTTTGAGTTAATTGTCGATTAAATGCATGTGTAGATCTAGAAAGATTTGATTTTTAGTTTAAAATATGGAAAAACTAAAGGGGATTTGACTGAACATCATTAGAAGACAAACTGTCTGTCTTTAAATGATGAACTGATAGGGAACTTGAATATTAGGAGTGATAAATTAAACATTTGGAAGCCTAAATTCATATATTTTTTAGCAGGTTTCTTTCTATGAGTTGTAGAATTATTTATTTAGTGCTCTAACATATGCTGTTACTTCAACCCTCTTGATATGGGCCTGGCTTTTATGTGTATGTCATGATGTTTCACAGAGTTACATTCAAAATTTAATTCAACAACTTCATTATACATGTATATTAGAGTGTAGTTTATAATTCCAATTGTTATGTTATCTAAGTTTTAATATATCAATATCAAAAGAAAATGTTAAAAAAATTCTCAGTCTTCATTTCTGTGCATCACCTGAAACATCTACATTTAAAACCTCACTTAGTTTGTAGAACTTGAATATTATAGCAACTGCACTATCTGATTTATCCTAGACAGAATATATGAACAATTTCTAGGTTAAAACTTACACTGTCAAAATGCAAACTTCTTCCTGTAGTGATAAATAAATATATTTTCTCAACCCATAACAGAAGCCCCACCCTTCTATACTTTCAAGGCAATTTTCATAACCCTGTGCTACTATTGGATATACATGTTTATAACCAATGGAAAGAGCTTATTTTAAAATTTAAACTTTCAATGGTCATTTTTGAATTGTTGCCAACAAACATTAGACCATTAGATACAAATTGCCATGCGAGTTAATGCTCATAGCATTTAAGTTTTTTTTTTCCTTAAATATCTTAGTTAGAAAACCAGTTAAATTACTGTTTTGTATTTAGGTGATTAATGTTTTAAAATGCATATTTGAAAGGTACATTAATATTTCTATTGACAAAGGCTTAGATGGAGGGGGGGGGGGGGTTAAGGTTAGGAACTACAAGAGTCCAAAACTGCATGTACATAAGAGTATGGAAATGTTTCCACTGCTAGACCATAACATTGTAAAATTAAAGTATTTGGGAAAAGGTAAATGGCTAAAATTCTGATGGTGACAAATAATTCATTCAAGGAAGAAAAAAAAAGTATTGTTCAGTTGATTTTAC